GAAAGTGTGCCAGTATTAGGGCATCTCACCTAGGCACTGGAGGTACCGGAATTGACAGAGATAGAATTAAAATTTCTGTTAAATCTTGGTGAAGACCTCGGCTCGGGTCTCCCAGGAATTCAAGTATCAGTGGAGACAGAACTTACTCATGTAAGTAATATGTTTTAAATAAAAAAAGGTTTATAGTTCTCAATTATTTAATAGAGTTCTTTTATTACTGTACCCATAGGGCTGTTGCCCTCTAAATAATAGATCTAATTCTTATAATTTACAAGACAATCAACTTTTCGTTTTTTTTTTTTTATTTTCGTATTCGTATTTTATTTATTTATTTACGTATTACAACTGGAGTCATCATGCTTTTTCTTAAAGGGTAGCCAGAATCACCTAAAAAAAAAGTTTTCTGATGAATCTTAATAAATACTAGCATCAATATATCAGTTATTAGTTACATTGGCTTACGGTAGATTTTGTGATGAAAAAGAATACAAACCTAAAAACCATGTGTTATTTAACTGTTCCATAATAGCTTTTAATGGATGGTGACCCCATATAAAGGCATCATGAGTTGCTCCCCCATGGCTGGCATCCACACTAATTATTTCCATGTCAGAGTTGCATACCTAAAAATAATCAGTCTTTTGATAACATATAGAGGCAATATTTTTTTTGTTTCAGAAATAACTTCTTGCAACAATCTAAGAAATCTAATATAAATATAAAAGAGGAAAACTAAGCTGAATGAAGCTGAAGATGAGAAATAAGCTGATTGAAGTATCACTTGTACACTGATTATATTAATTAACTAGCTAAGACCCGCGGTGTTACCCGCGTTTGTTGTTATAACCGCGGGCAACGCCGCGCGGCGAAGCTAGTCTAAAAAAAGTAGCCTAAGTTACACCTTATGTCATCAGCTATCTGCCAGTGAAAGTTCCGTCGAAATCGGTCCAGCCGTTCCAGAGACAAACAAACAGTCAGACAGACAGACAATAATTGTAAAAAATGTTATTTTGGCATATGTACCGTGTAAACATACATATGCATTTAGTAAAAAGCGGTTATTTTAATATTACATACAGACACTTCAATTTTATTTATTTGTATAGATTAGTGTATTTGTATGCAAGCCACTTGTTTAAATTTTTTTTGCACATTTTCATAATCAATGTATGTACAATTAATTGAATTATATATTTCTTTTGTTATTGTTTTTTTTATTAAAAAAGGCACCTCCCACATTGTGTCACTGGGGACTTCAAAAACATACATGAAACAGACACACAGAACACCCACACTCAGAACAAAAATTTGTGGATTAAACAGTGTTGTCCCATGCGGGAATCGAACCCATTACAACCCATTGCACAGTAGGATGCGGCGAGCTGACCGCTTAAACCACTACACCATCTGTACAGTCGAGCATATTAATTAAGGCAAGGCACATACCAATTGTACATTCAAAGAATGATACTATTTTCTACAGTAAAAACGTTCTTCGTGTTCCACTGGCCGTTTTATTGCAACATGTGTCCCATCAATGCATCCTAATACTCCAGGCATATGATTTTTTTTGTAAAATCTGAAATAAAATTGTTGATAAGTCATACCAGACTATTATATAAACAAACCTACAGAAGTAAATTGTACTCACCAAACTATAGTAGCTCTACGTTCATTATCACTATTTGGAAATTTTATATGTTTCTGTCGGAAATGTGGAAGATTAAGGCACTGGGTTACTTGTGCTATTACAGCTGAAACTGTTTGTTGGGCAACAGAATGTGCAGCTATGTCCCAAGTTGGTCTTTGGTACGATCCAGTCGCATAAAATGACAACGCGATCAAAACCTGAATTAATAAATTTAGAATATTAAGTTTCCCTTATATTGTTAATTTAAGTCCTTTTAATACTTCATATTTAGTTCCATGATATAAATATGTTTATAATATACTACAAATCTGACTTCTACACTCAAATCTGTGGACTTCGTAGGTTGTGTCATGAACGGTCTCATCTCATTACACAGCTCAAGTACACACTCTTTCGTTAGCCTATATCGCTGTATAAACATTCCGTCTTGCAATTCGAATGTTTTGATCAAATTTCGGATGGCATTCCTATTAATTTTGTCACTAACTTTCTTTTTAGCGTTATTGAAATCATCTTCTAAAAACTCAAATACGAAGTATTCATTCTTCATCACACATCTAAAACAACGAAAAATATAATGAAATTTTGTTCTGAGAAAAGTCTTTAATGATGTAGCTTGAATATTCTAAGCACAAATTAACAATCACTTACATTTTTAATTCAAAATCACTCAAAACAGTTCAATAAAAGTTACTACTTTACGCCTGCGAAATATGACTGCACGGCAGTTCAGTTTTCGGATATTCAACTGTCAAATATCACTTCATGGTAACGCCAAGCCGTTGAAATCTTAATCACGTGACCACTGACCTGAGATCGCTGACTCGCCTGCTTATCATCGCGTTTATGGTACAAAATAAAGCGACCGTTCAATTCTCGACTAAAATTGGCCTGTTTTAAGAGTTCGTGGTAGGCCAACAGAGATAATTATTCAGGTCAAAAATTGATACATTGCAGTTCAGCCGAAAAGGTTCATGGTACAATTAGAAAACCTGTCAGGTTTTCTGTAAAGTTGAGCTGCTCTGAATTTGGCAGTTTTTTGGAAAGTTCATGGTAGGCCCCCAGTATATTAAACTGATTTTTGTAAATTGAAGGGATGTTCGGGGCTCGCTCCACTCCCGTCACGGGTCGGCTCGGCATTGCAGTGCCGCCGGGAACGGCCCACATAATACTATATTAATATTCCGTGTTAGATTGATTTCATACTCGATTCTGGTTGCGTAGACTGTTTCTTTATCTACGCAAGCCGATTTTAACTATTTTAAATGCCTTTATTCACACAAAGCCCACTGAATCAGTGTCCACGATATTATAATGTAGTCCACGCTATCACAAGGTTCACATTCCTTTATTTATGTCCACCTTTAAAAGAGGAAAAACAATGATTTTTATTTCCAGTTTTATATTTGGTAAGTGGGCATTTTAACGTGGACATTTTGAAACTATAGACGTAGGTATGTGACTTAAGGTTAACTGCTTGCGTTTTTGTTGTTGGACCAATTCCACTAGCTTTTGTGCCGTAAATATAAATTCTATTAATCTGTTAAACATTTATTTTCTTAAAATTTCAGGTTTTATAGATGTAAGGAACTTTGTTGCACAGAATGTCATCCCAGAAAACTGAATTAAGTGAATTTGCAAATAAATTATGCTAGTTAATCTACAGCAAAATTAAAAAATGCTTCAATTAATTTTAATGGTAAAATAAATGTAATCTTGCCTTCAGTCGTAATACGACAAATAGAAAAACAAAAATATCGTAAACGCGCAAACAGTAACATTAGTTTATTATCACCACTATATTTCAAACAATTGTAGTGTTGAATCATAGATATATAAATTACCGACTAATTAGCGTATTATTCCTAGGACTGGCAAAAATACCTTTCCGTTCCGTACCATCGAGTTGATCAAAATTAAACAAACATACACTTCTACCAACTATCCAGCTGCATTTTTAGAATCTCTCAGTGTCAGGAGCACTCATAAGATAAATTTAAAGGAACGAAAAACTTAAAGGCGTACCAATAATTGTAACCTTAGAAATATAAGTTGACCAAAACTGTAAAGGCACCAGATTAAAAGGACGAATTTACAACAAAACGTGATAGAAGTAGAGACTTTAACAGGGTGTAGTGCAGGTGATAGTATTTTTATACCCCGGATTCCTCTCATTCAAAACAATTTCCCGTTTAGTTTTAAAATGACCCCATGACAATCAATAAAGCCCAAGGTCAGACGCTGAAAGCCGCGGGTATGGATCTAAGTATTGGTTGTTATTCGCATGGTCTACTTTATGAACTCTGTCGCGTCTTAGTAATCCTAGGAAACTGTATGCTTTGATCCCGGATGGCTATACGTCTAAAACTGTGTACCTATAGAGAAGCATTATTGTATATAAGATAATACATTAATAGTATTGGATAGCAAATTATATATGGTAACTTATTTTAGCCACCTTCTAATATTTATTGTCTATTAATTAAATATATTACAAATACATGAGAACATTTTGCCGTTAGAAATTCATTCGGATGTAAGTCTCTGGCAACAGCTCCATAATATATCCCAAGAGTAAAGTTCTTTTTTGTACAATTTTTCCACAAATTGTATGAAAACAGCTTGTTTTTTTGTGTACGCAAGCAGAACCGAACTGCTTGCGTTGTAGTAGTTGAACCGATTACGACTAGCTTTTAGAAAATGAAATGGTAGGTTAGGTTGGTATTGCGATTTAGAAGAACTGAACATTTTAACACCGTTGGACATTTTGAGAATTGAACATTTTGACCCTGAACTCTCAATTCGCAACTACAATCATGTCACTTAACTACATCGCGTCTTTAGTTTATTGTTTACACGAACAGCGCGTATTAGATTCGTAAGACATTTCAATTTTGTACATAAGTTTTTTTTTTTTTAAAAGACAACTTAACTTTACAAATATACATGAAACGGACACAAAGAACACCCAGACTCAGAACAACAATTTGTGGCTCACACAAAGTGTCGTCCCATGTGCGGTTTGAACCCACAACACTCGGCGTAGTAGGAAGCGGCGTGGCGACCGCTTAAACCACTCCGCCATCCGTGCAGTCAATTCATGACAGTGACATTGACATGACAGTGACATTTCAGCGAAATATGCATTTTATGCATTTAAATCCTTACGGGTATTAAAAAAATCCCTTTTTTATTACATAACTTATCTTTTTTAACAATTGAGATTACCAGGGACTACCCTGAATGTATTTTAATGACTTTTATGTCTTGTACAAAATAAATAAAAACTTTGAATCAAATACTCCAAGTATTGACATTTTTGATTTTTTTGATTGTTTTTTTTTTTCAGAGAAAACAATTGGCTCTCAACAAACCACGCAATTCGTCCAACAGCCCATGCAGATTATCGCGACGCCTAGCACTTCCCAAGGTATAGGAATATTTTTATACTGTAACTAGCTGCGAGCCGTGGTGTTGCCCGCGGTTTATCAATTCCTTGCTTATCCCACGGGAAAACTATATGTTTTCGGGATAAAAAGTAGTCAGCCACTTCTATACCTAATTCCATCAAAATTAGTCAATCTGTTTGACCGTGAAGAATTAACGAACATACAAACACACACACAACTATACATTTGAATAGAATATACAATTTGTAGATAAGGTTGCTATAATTACTTATTGATAGAAAAACAAAACAAGGCTTAAAAACGATTACGGTAAATTATTTAAAATTTGTAGGTTACTTCCAGTCCACCTTAAACTTCATTTTAACATTTTAGTTACACAATATAATAACCAGGAGCACAAAATCCAAGTGAACATCTGTAACCCAACCCGTCTAACCGAATAGAGGAAACTTTTCGTTTCAATGATCACGAACTACTTCAGTAAACGAACAAGAAGTTATATGGTACCGTTTCTGCTCAATGACGAAATGTAAAATAAATTTAACAAACATTACTTCTCGTTATGTCTACAATTAATGCTTTTTCTTTTTTCATTACTTAAAAGACTGTTAATGTACTTGTACAGTAATTTAAAATATTAACAAATATTATATTAAAATTATAAGTTTTAAGTACTCGTATTATGTATTCTTAAATGAGAACTTCTGCCGACAAACTGTTTTTACAATGTAAGGATTTGAGATATTATAGTTTAACATAGAAAATTAATCACCGCCTTGCCTCAGAATTTACTCCATTTATTAATAGCGATAGATACCTCTGAGGATCCTCATTCTTTAATAATTATGTCCCTTTAAAAAAATTGTATTCTATATTCGGGTTTTTGTTTCAGGTGGATTGAGCTACTTAGCGCAGAACATACCTGGCGGCATGATGCAGAAAACTATAATAATTGTCCAAGGCCCTACTGGTGGTGGACCTCTGACTCTCACGGTATGTTTCTTATAATCAGTCAGTGTTCAAAATTGTGTTATTAGAATAGCTACGTATGTTTATAGGAATAAAGCCTCGTTGAGCGAAGTATTATATATATATATTATTATCATTAATCAGATATTAAAAATGTGGGTAGGCTCTTTTAATATCTCTTATTTCAGAATATAATTTAGATTCTTTATTATAATACGTTTTTTAGTCAAATGGCTATCAGCTTTAGTCAAACTAAAAATAAATACGATTTATTTTATTTAGAGATTTTAATCAATAATTATATATGCTAGCTTCTCTGAAGGCCAATGTAGTTAATAAATAATGTTACAAAAGGTGAACAACCCAGGAGGTTTGGACGACGCGACCCTAAACAGTCTTATCACCCAGGCTACAGAGGCGATAACCCAACAGCAAATTATACAGGTTATTTTATACCTAGCTTCATGCTTACTTACAATATAGCAACTTAGTGCCATTAAGAGCCAACATTTACTACATCTCATAACTATTTTCATTCTTTAAACTTATTTACTAATAATTTTCCTTTGTTATTAATGGCAGGGTTTTTGTTACTCACTAAAATTACTTCGTTTCGCTTTGCTTTTTTTTTGTTTAACAAACGTATTATTTCTAATAAAAAATATGGTTCTGCGAATGAGGAGGGTTCTTTTATTAATAGGGTTTGTGTGTTAAACTCACTCATCTCTCGCACGACAAATCTATTATCTCGATATGTTTTCTTCTGCCTGAAGTGGTGGACAAGACAATAAGGGAAGGTTATCTCATAAATCTTCTCCATTTTTATTTCTCTCTTGACTCTGTTCTCATTAAGAAATCTCTCTTTACCTTTCCGAGAGTCTTTCATTTCTATTGTGTTTAAAAAATATATTTTAAAGACAATGTATTAGTAATATATGGCATGGTTTGGTTTGATCCAAATTTTATAATTCTTCTGAAACACGTTTATTCATTTGTTTTGAGATGATGGTGTTTTTCCGGGGTTTTGTTAATAATTACGGTTTGTCTTCATAATCTCTCATCACTTTCGATATTAACTCGTTTGTATTCGAATTTATTTTAATTGGGCAAATGAACTAGAAAATAATTACGTATTTTTTAAATGTACTGATAATTTTTACTACAATCTTTACAAAGAACATTTGCCTAAGTAGAGTAGACACTGCTATATAAAGCCATCATACTCATAAAGGCTTGTTTCATATAATTTTCAATATTTACCCTTGAGCCCTGCGTAACAAACGCATATTAGTTAGTTATCTCATTCAAAAATTGAATAGCGTACTGCTTTAAGCGGTCACCTCGCTACCTCCAACTGCGATGAGTTTTGTTGGGTCGATCCCCATATGAAAGGACAATATTTTGTTTGATCCACAAATTCTTGTTCTGAGTCTGGGTGTTCTTTGTGTCCGTTGAAGTATGTTTGTGGAGCAACACAGATGAAATTGTTGTTGTTGTTGTATTATTAAAAATGGAATAAAAAAAATCTCGTAGCCTTATGCGTTCGTCGGCACTGCAAGAGTTTCACATATGTTATTAATATTACGTCGCCTTGTGTATTTCTTAACTTTCCAATGTGAGGATTTCTAACGTATTTAATGACCTAATATTGGAAGCTTTACTCGTACTAACACTTTATGCAAATAATTCTTAATATTTTATCACTTGAAACATAAGTTATTCAGCGTAATATTGCTTATTAATAATTGAATTTTATTAATGTTTAATCGGCACACAGATTAAGACAAAATCTTTACCAAAATAGAGTAATATTAGTTTTAATTGAAATTAGTCGTTCTCAGGTCACGTGGTTACCAACAGATAGGCAGGCATGATTATATCTCAGGTCGTTGACTGGATTATATATTTTGTTTTTATTTACAAAATAAAAGAAATATACCTAGATTCAGTCTGATAAAAGGCTTTCCTAGTATGGTCAAATCTTAGAGTTTATTAGGTTTACTTTTTGATTTTATGGAAATGATATTTATTAAAATCCTTGAAAACCTAAATTTTTAAAGTTGACTACCCTAATTGTGTGAAAAAAAATCTGTATTTTAATGTTTATATATGATATGAATATGATTATAAATAACAGTAGATGTATATTGCACGCACAGAACTCTGGCGTGATACAGTCGACACAGAGAATGCTCCCGCCACTCGTGAGCACGTCCCACTGTGGACAGAGCATCACAGTGGTCAAAACGTCCATAGCTCAGGTGCCACGCACACTATAATAAGCTTCTTGCTTCAACAAGGGCTTTGGAATAAGATACGGTCTTACACTAGTACATAGCGAATAGATACATTTCTTATGTAGTTATATTACCCAACGACTCGAGTCCTTCGCAACACTAATTTCAATATCTCTTGCAGATTGACTAAAACGTAAATATTCAATAAGTATTTATTATTCCAATTTATTTATCGTTGATGGATTTATGGCAACACACGCGATACACTTTAATTAAATTTGATTTGGACTATGACGGTGACATTCTATTTTCAAATAAGAATATAAACATGACATTTTAATATAGCTCACTTCAACACATTATAACACGACTAACTTATTTAATACTATTTATATATATATTAAAAAAACACATAATATACCGTTTTCTTGTTCTAAATACCCGATTCTTATAGATCTGTTTAGATTAATGGTGCATGAGTCCTTTAGTTATATGTATTTGTAAAGAGGTTATTTTTGTTAACGTTATTTTTTTATTTTGCTCAAAATGTAAAAGTTATTAATGTAAAAGTTGTCAAAGAACGGATTGATAAAATTTTCAGAGTTATATTCGATAAGTAGTTGATTTAGCTTGAAATAGAAATGCAACACCTGTATATTTAAGTAATAATTAGAAGTTAATGTATTTTGCTATTAGTATCTTTAGAGATTTCTTAAGAGTAAATTACGAACTCAGTAGTTGCTGTGACATGTATAATATGCTTTGCTTTTTGATTGTAACAATCGATAATATCGTTAAATTGTAAAACACGCTTGCCTGTTTTGGGAATGACATCTTATATGTTTGCTTATAACGCTTCTTCTTTTCATCTTGTTCTTCAGCAAAATCTTCTACTCATTTTTTTTTGCTTATATATTTTGAAAGCTGAACAGGCAGCTTTCAAGTTTTATTTATTTTATGTATTATGTTTGTCAATTTATCATTGTAAGCAGTAGTACAGTTTAAAGGTTGAAGTAATCAGCGATTAAAAATACTACCGGTGAGCGAATCTTACATTATGATCACACCGCAGTCGCTGTCTACCCCAATCATAACAGTTGTTTAAACTTATTGTATTTTTGCTTACATGAATGACTATACATTGTTAGAGATTTTGATAAAGATATTACTTAAATTTTATTTTGCTGCAAATTTTAGAATTCAAAGCATTTTTTTTCTTTAATTACTGTACATTTAAAAAAATGACTTAAAACTCAAATTCGCAGAACACCCCCCAAATAACTCCAAGCCAGCAACCTATAATAACAACACAGCCGCAACCCCATAAGGCTCAGCTGGTCAACCCACAGCCATCGCAACAGATCGTGGTCGCAACACAGAAGCAGCCACCAGCGCTTATAAGCACCACAATGACATCATCAACTAATCAGATAGTGACCACCAACCCACAATTAATTCAAGGCAACCAACAACTATTACAAGGGAATCAGCAGATAATTACAGTTTCGAATAATCAACCGGTAATAGTGAATGCGCCGATGAAGTCCAACGTGCACAGGGTTGTACAGAACGTACAGCAACCACAAAGGAGTCCAGTCGTTACTAATGTTCAGACAACCAACCCTGTGTCCGTTGTGCAGACAGAAGGGAAGACTAGTGTTATACAGTCTAGTGCGGTGAGATTTCTCGATTATTATTATTATTATATTTTTATAATTATATTTATTGCACACAATGATAAGTCAAAGTCGAAAATGTTCGCTAATATGTTAATTACATTAGTTACTTCACAATTTATCGTAAGTATTTCGAGTTAGTCATAAAAATACCTAAATAATAGACATTCAATTAAACTTTTTAGATTTAAGTAATAACTTTGAGTTTTACTGTTTAAAATTTAGATAAAAACTCTCTTTTTATTAAAAAGAATTTGTGATTAGAAAAAAGGTTCGACATTTTAAATTCCACAATCACAGAACGTTGCAAGCATTTGCAGTGATTTTTATTTTACAGTTCATCACAACGATAGACGCACAAAGTGCCTCAAGTCTTCGGCCAATCTTTTATGCTATCACTAATTAATACTTATTGAAATTTTAACAGAAAATCTCGCAACAGCCGGTGATGAGGCAAGTCATTACTCGGCAGCCCGTCATGGTCGGAAACACTAAGATCGGTGATAAAGAACTCGTCGTTTCACAAACTGTAACTGAGGTAATTTACAACTTAACAGAACTACCGTTAACGGTAAGATTTATAATATTCTGAATCGAAAGATTTTAAATTATAATTGTCATTTTAACATTTTGTTTGTTGAACAAAACATGCAATTCAATAAAGCGTAATGCGTAAACGTAGCACAAGAAAATATTTTGGTCGTCTAGTTTTAATTGTGTATAGAAAACTGTTATGCAAAGTTACATATCCAAATTTTTTCTTATAGGGTATGGTACTATTTCAGATTTACTCCAAGGGCCATCTTTGGTCTGTATTAGACTTTTTGGACTTGACTGCCTCGGTAGTGAAGTGGTAGCGGGTGCCACTGCTGTGCTGAGGTCTTGGGTTCGATTTCCGGGTCGGACCAAATGTTTCTATGATCGCAAAAATTTAATTCAGATTTCTCCGATCCTGACGATAATATATTTATGTGTTTAGCCACCAAAGCCACCGACACCTAAACCTGCAGCAACACCTCCGCCCGCGCCAGCCCCGCAACCAGCTCAACAAACCACGCCTCCTTTAGATGAAACACCTTGGATTTGTCACTGGAGAGGATGTGGGAAGTAAGTCCCTTTTAAATTTTCATTTTTAACTTAGGTAGATGTATGATTCCGATCATGAAATGGTTATAAGGGGTATACCTTTGAGGTTGGGCAGCCAGAAACTGCACTCGGTGAAAATCAACGAAGCAAGTCTCTTAGCATTTTAAACAGTTTTACTTACCTTTCTCAATCCAAATTTAAATTTCTTTTCATTTATAAATTAGAGAACCATTTATCATAAATGATTGTACTCTTTATCTTTTATTTAGATTATTATTATAGTCCACTGCTGGACATAGGCCTCTCCTTAGAAAGGAGGTTTTGGCCTACTATACCACGCTCACTATACTGTACTATATCTGCTTAAGATGGTTGGCAAGAGTTGGATGCGAGAAGCCGAAAATCGATCGAAGTGGCGTGCAATAGGAGAGGCCTATGTTCAGCAGTGGACTGCGATAGGCTGTTGATGATGATGATGATGTTACCACGCTAGCCAGACGGGTTGGCATTAATCAATATACTTATGTACTACTTATACAACACTTTAAAAAATAACATGTTAAAAAGTTTATAAACGTTTAAATCAAATGTTAGAGCGTTCAAATAAAGTTTTAAACGTTTAAATCAAATGTTAGAGCGTTCAAATAAAGTTTTAAACGTTTAAATCAAATGTTAGAGCGTTCAAATAAAGTTTCGTTAAACTGTTATAGACTAATTTGTTTATTTAAAACTAAAAGATTTTATTAAGAACAAAAAGTAGTAGAAAATTAACTAAAAATCTACGGAACGGATTCGGATGAAATTTTTTTCTGTGTCTAGGTGTGATTCATCTATAATATGTATGTATTTAGAAATATACAATTATGTTTATCAGTTGTCTGATAATGGTTACCATAGCACATTTCCTGCTTGCCGTGTGTAAGATGGGTCAATTTCATGTTATTATAAACACGATTTAGTATCGCTAACAGGTTTCGATCGATCATTTTCAGATCATTCGTGAGTTCGACGGACGTGTTCACGCACGCGGCGCGCACGCACTGCCCGCCCACGTCCGGCGGCGAGGCGCCCTGCATGTGGCTCGACTGCGACCGGGTGCCGCGCAAGACCTTCGCGCTGCTCAACCACCTCACCGACAAGCATTGTACACCGCATGTGAGTACCGCCTACCAGAAACCGATTGTAACTATCTGACAATACATATTATATTTGTCGTGCTTGTCACAAATGGGCCAGGCTCGACCGGAGTGATATTATAGCATCACAGAAAACCTGTATTAAGCAATTCCTTCACTTGTTACATATTTTTCGGTTTCGCGTGTAATAACACCTGATAACAGGTGACAGACATCTGCAACTCAAGAGATACAAGACCGTTGCCAGCTTTTGTGCTCCCCCCCAGAATTAGGTGGGAGGGGCAGATGTTTGGCCGCCGGTAACTACACTCACTCGGTGAAAATCAATAAAATAATTGCTTAAAACCGGTTTTCTGTGCAAGGTTGTGCACAGAAACCCGGTCTAAATATCTGAATCGATCAATATCAAGTCCATAGAGATATAACCATAGAGATAACATAGGGTACACCTGCCCGTAAGTGGAAGTGATACAGGCAAGGAGAGAAATGGATACCCGATAATTCCCTCTGTCTCTGTTTAACTACGCTGCGATTGGCTACTTATTAACATACATACTGGCATACATCAAAACAATGTTGTGTATATTTAATGATGCCATTGTTAGGTATCTGTTGATTAAAAAAAAGTGGCCGTGAGTTTCTTTGCCCTTTCTGCTCATGAGGCTCAATCCCTTGGAAATGGGCGGTTGTATATCAGCACAGGCACATGGGAGATTTTCAATACGTATATATTTAGTTCGCTAAATATTTGACAAAACAGAGATTGTTGCTATTGTGTGTGTTGATCTATGACTTTAGCGTCTACACGAGAGATGATCAAATTGTTTATTTAAAGATCTTCGAGTTTGAATTTGAACCCCTCATATTCCCCAGTCAATCATAGAGCTTGGCTAGAAAGTGATGGTGGGGAATAACTTATCCATTTCTCTCGTTGCCTATATTGCAAGATTGGGGCTCTTGTTCTCTCTAGGTTATATCTCTATGGTTATATCAATGCAATTGGCAGGCGTTGAAAGCGATCTACAACTCTCGTCGTTTGGCGGCGAGTGAGGCTGAGAGTAAGCCGGTGTCGCTGGGCTACCCGCCCAACGCTGCGCTGGCCGCTCTCAACAAACACGCCGCCGACATGTTCAACCCCAGGGAACTCATGGTGAGTCACGCTTCTAATATGAAACCTCCTTGTTTAATATCCTCCTTCTAAATTTATGATTATGAAATAACATCTGTGCCATATCTAAATTCGAGTCACATCAGCATCGGCATTTAATACATATTTAATCCTAATTAATATACATTTTGTCTTTTAACCTAATTCTAATAATCATATTATTACTTACTTTATTTTTCAATTTAGATCTACAATTTAGAAAAGCTTTATACCTTTAGGTTTAAGTTTAATTCTAGTAAATCTTTCAATGTACGGGATTTAAGAGGAAAGAAATAAAAAAAAAAAAAAACATTTTTGAAGCTAATTTCGATTTTTTTTAAAGCATACGATCTAATGCTGATCTAGTAGTTTTATCTTTTTCTTTCAAGGACCGGGGATAGGTTGACATAGTTAACATAATAGATATGAGCAACCAATGTAACTGAAACTTGACGAATAATATCATTAATAAGACCCTGAAAGGCAATAATGAAAAAAAACGTGATTTGAAGGATTTACATGAATTAAATCCCTTTATACACTAAATACCAAAACTAGCACGTAGTTCCCCTTCGCTATTTACCACTAATAGTGTCACGCTGCGTGTGTATGACGTCACTAACGTGTATGTGTTTGTGTGCGTGCAGCACAGGGCCGAACTCAGTCGCACACCGGAGATACTGGTGAGACTCACATACACCTGTAGTTATGTATACGAACATACTGATTACACTGTTTGGCATTACGAACTAATGAGAAATGATAACTGTAGACGAAACTTAGGAGCTTTACTAGCAGAGCATCTCTACCGTCAGTAATTGCTGGCTCTAAGTTTACTAACTTTTAAACTTTCGCGTTCCATGATAATTAATATTATTTAACGGGAATTAACGCGATCTCTTATTTAGGGTATTACATACCTCTGGTTTGCCTGACGTTTCGACCAGGTTGCACCGGCCGTGGTCACAGGCTGACTGGCTCATCGGCGCACGCCCTCCGTCGTCGAATCCGTGAAGTAGAAGGCTCTTCATCTACCCGCACATTTTCGATATTGTTTTTGTGTCGCCATGTACCGTCACATACCACACTAACAGTGTCCCTATTCTGTAAGCAAACCGATGAGTCCCTATTCTGGTGTTTAACCGATTGCGCAGAAAAGCGAGGTGGTATGTTTTTTAACACTGGATTCCACGCTGTAGATAATTTAAAACCATCTTCCCGATTGAAAGTTTTATGCTTTCAACGTATGCTTTTATGAAACGTCAGGCAAACCAGAGGTATGTAATACCCTAAATAAGAGATCGCGTTAATTCCCGTTAAATAATATTAATGGCTCTAAGTTTCTCTCTAAACTTAAATTTCAAATGTGCCAATTCTATTTTATTATATCTATTATTTAATTGCATTCAACCCGCAGGGCAACTATTTCAAATGACGTAGAGATAATAATATTAATAACTAGAGACGCTCTAAGCCCCGAGTGTGAGTTTATTTTACATCTACTCGCTGTCGACGGCGGGCGCGTTCGGCGTTGCGATTGGTGCACATTTCAGTGCAGGCCAATCGCAGCGCTAAACGTGGTCACCGTGACGATCGAGCAGATGTTAAATAAACTTACACTCGGGCTTCTGATCCCAAACTGCTGATAAAAGAAAATACTATTACTACACATATTATAAATAAATTACACTAATACACGGGGTAAGAAGCGCTAACCGCAAAACGCTCCTAGTCTGCTAATAAAGCTCTTGTCGGTTCGTTTTGATTAATCAAAATTTTATCTATCTAGATTTTAATTTCCATTAGAAATATAACGCCAACGGTGGAATTATTGTGCGTCGAACAAGCCATGTTTGTTTTAGCTTTTGTTTTTGTGTACGTTACGTTTATGTGTATTTGTTGTTTTATGTTCAGTGTTACCAGGGCGCCTAGTGTAAGTTTATCTCACACTGACTTATGCTCACGGTGACCGTGAAGAGTTCAGTGCGCGTGGCAGTAACCGTGATCCAGTTGATGTGAAATAAATTCACACTAGGCCCTCTGATTGTTTGTTGGCAACGTTACATTGTATATGCTTTGTTAGTATTGGATTAAATGTTCTGCTTAATCAATGATGCTAGAAGTATAAGTAGTAAGTATAAAGGCTATTATATTCTGAAGCGGTAGAATCCTATAGAATACACGTTTAAAAATTGCATACGGAGTCAGTACTTATTATCGTACAAACTAAAGCGATTAAAATTTTCCCAAGCCCTAAACTATTTTTAAATGACACAGGCAGACACAGTGCATTAATTCTGTGTACATCTGAAATTTTATTTAAACATTAAAAAGGACTCTAAACACGAATAATTGGTAACCAATTTTATGAAATGAAGATTTATTTATTTTATTTCGGCACACAAAACAGATCATAACACAATACTTAGTATTTTAAATCTAACTTAAACAGTTTTGATCTTAGATATGTTCCAAGACATGTGTACACAAAATGTCAATGTAGGTGATACAAGACGAGAATACATGCAACTCAAGAAGCTAGATATTAACATAAAAATAAGTGTAAAATTTAAAATGTATAACAAATTAAACTAACGTTTATGACATAATATGCGTAACTACATTTTTAATGAAATATATCTAGGATGTCCAAATGTTGGGGTTATAATTCATTATAGAGAAGACACATTCTAAGAATTGGATTTAAAAAGAAGTATTATTCAGATACACATTCACGGTGAAGCTTCGGTATTGAGGTTGACGTGACCTACACCTCGTGATAAAATTTATTTAGGAAAGTAAGTCAGTCAACAACGAAATGTGATCTTATGAAGACAGCCGATCATGACATTATTATTAATAATAATATTTATTTATTTATTGATAGGAAACTCAACAGCTTTTTACATTATACATTCATATTTACAAAAATTAAATTCTTAGGCCTATTACAGAGTTTCACGACATTCGCTATATAAAACTAGAAAATAAAGTATCTTAAAACATTACACTAATAATAAAAAACATAAATCATACAATAAATAAACAATAATCATTAAATCAAATTATATTAAATTAAATCAAATCAAACGGAATCAAATCAAATTAATCAAATTATTTTCCGACATTGAAACACAACGCCTCTGTGGTGCAGTGGTAGCGTATGCGACTGCTGTGACGAGGTCTCGGGTTCGATAGCCAGGTCGGATCAAATGTTTGTATGATCTGCAAATATTTGTTTCAGAGTTTGGGTGTTTTCTATATATAACATGTATGTATTTACAAAAGTGTATAAGTATTCTATCAGTCAATCTAGCTTTTATAGTACAAGCTCTGCTTAGTTTGGAACTAGATGACGTTACGGATATAGTGTTCTATTAAATTATTATTTTGCAAGACGAGATGAAGTTGCGCGAGTTAGCTGATGAGAAAATAAAAATATGTGTCGTTAAACTAGATGGGGTTGTGTGAAAGTAGTAGAATATTATTTATAAAGATGTACTTTTTATTACCTTTGCACACGTTTGGCAACGCACTAGTTAGCAACATAGTTTTGATTACGTTACAACGAGTGTCGTCATTTGTGCATTCAAGTACCGACAGCGCCTGGGAAAACAATGACAAATTAAAGACCTTTAAATAATTTTTTTTTAGCCACTGGAGGTGCTGATCAGATCAAAACTTGTAAAATCGCATACCAAGGATACGTTTATGGGTGTTAGGATTAGTGTGTGTCAGCAACTATTTGAGTATGTCAGCACTTGTTTTTTTAGCATTTGTTTATATGTTAACACTAAATGTAGCATGTTTTATTTTTAATTTTAGTGCACTGTCTATGTGTTTTTGTTTTGGAACATTTAGGGGGATCCCAGTGTTGGTTTGAATTCTCTTGATATAATTTTGACGTAATGTTTGTTTTGGCAGGATGAGAACGAGGGTCCAGTTACAAAGAGTATCCGATTGACAGCTGCACTCATATTGAGGAATATTGTCATTTATTCTAACACTGGACGAAGGTTTGATAAATGTCATCTTTATTTATTGCAACGTCCAATGTATATTAGTCACATTAAAGGATATTAGTAATCTGTCATTCTTAACAAAATTGAGATATATAAAACTTAGCATTCAATTGTATTTTATTTACTTATACATATTATATATTAAGTCAATACCTCTTAAATGTGAATAGCCTTAGTATAAAATTTAAAGATTTTTAACATAGTTGGAATTTACATTTTATTCACACATTCGAACTATGATTATTTCAAAGCCAAAAACATTAAAAAAGCAAAAAGCAATCAATTCGCAGTAGACTAAACAAGTTAAAGGCAGGCCCCTTTCTTTCTTGATTAATAATTGAGCTAATAAAGGATATATTTTTGATGTATTTATAAACGTAAAACTTTTTTTACAGGCAACTGCGTTCCTACGAGGCAAATCTCGCTACAATCGCGTTGAGTAGTGTCGAAGCTTCTAGAACGATCGCACAAGTTCTGTACGACATGAATAATATCTGAGAGCCGTGAATTGGCCATAGGCCTATTTAAAAAACGGTCGCTGGTGTAAATACGAGTACATACAAAGGAAATTAATCTCAGTTAAAATAAATAAAAATGCAATCCATATAAATATAATCACAAAGTTCTGCAATATTTTGTAATATCTTTAAAAAAGGAGAATATGCCCAACCTAGGCAGAGCTTTAACAATGCTATCCTCACTTCTAGGAGGTAAAGAAGAGTACGTATTAACTAATAGAAAAAGGTTCGTCGTCGAGTGAGCTGGACCTCTAGCTTCTAACAAGACGTGAGATATCGATGTAATAGAATAGAATTTAAGTTTAAACATTCGTTTAACATTAAGAAAAAGTAACCTCTGTTTGCGATCTTTCATATCACACTATTATTATTACGACGTGCTAAATAATCGTTACTAAAAACACACGGGCGCTTGTATTTAAAATGTTCAAAAATCACATGCACTAAAACTTTTAAGTATAGTTGACACGTTGACCATGACAGAAGGTGTGAGATCTGTTTTCTAAGAATGCAGGATCATGCGATTTCATTATAACATACTAAAGCATGTCTAGCGTTACTAACTAGATTCATAGAAAAACATTACCACTTATATATTTTTATTCATATCTAAATATAATGTAATTTGTAGTATGTTTGATAGACAAAAAGCGTCAGTCCTCCGTAAAAATTGGCAAGATCAAGACGATATTTGCGTGACATGTTTTATGGATGGCTTCTACGGCTAACGAAGCAGTTATTTTAGTGTTAATTATTTCATGCATATTGTTGACAAGTACTCATGTTCAAATAATTACCTAGTTGTTGACATTAAATTGAATATTTGTTGTAAAATACACCTCATATCAGTGTTATACACTAACTAACATTGCATGGTGTACAGCATTCCTTGCTAACAAATAATACTATTTGACATAATTTTTGTTATTTAAGTATTGTTGTAGACTGATTCCTGCTAAAAATTCTTGTAAAAATATAAGATCAATTTATAAACGGTAAGTAAGATGTGCATCTCGTCCCTATTAATCTCATCGCCCGAAATTCCATCTGGCTGACTCAAGCAGTCTCTTTTGACCCACTTTTTACATGAAGTAAGACTGGAATAAGCCCTCAATTTAAATGAAAACTATACTACAATTATGATTAAAATCCAGTTCTTGTTTTGAATCGAGGCGAATAATGTACATTTACTAAAATTAAGTATAAAAAGTAGGTTAGTGATTAACATAATAAGTATTATTTTTTCAATGATATGTATCTGAGTGAATGATTTATTAATTTAATTTACGTTCCACTAGAAACAGAAAATAAATAATTTTGAAATAAAGAATACCTTTTGTTTTATTTACACTTCATTTTACTGTCTTCCCAAGTATGCTATTAACTAAGATTTTTTTGTCATCGGCTACTGAGTTTTTCGCCATGGGTGTTCTTAACCTCTGACGCAAAAAGGAAGGATGTCTTTAGTTTAATGCGTGCCTGTGGCTTCTAGATCCTAAATCCAAGGATCGAGTCTTATTGTCAAAAAGTAACAATCGAGTGTTTATAACTTAAACGGTTCAGCCGTTTGACTATCGTCAGAAGAAGAGTCTCTTTGATAATAAAATGGTGCTGGGTCAAGTTATTCGATATTTATATCAATAAAGTAATTAAATGAGCATAATGTGTGTATGATTCGTAAACCTTGTGTTTGTGTAACTTGTCTTCTTTTTAATAGGAAGATTTTCAATAATTTAATGCTTATGTATTTTAGAAAAAAAAAACTTAAAAAACTATAAACTAAAACGTACATTTAAACCTTTCCTTTCTTGTATGTTGCAGTAGACTTTTTAAATGATAAAGATATGTATTTCAGTATGATACTCTATGAACTGGCTCCTACATACGAACAGCAACAAGAGCACGAAATTTTGTACGAGCCTTGATTTTTTTCCCTTGGTCTTAAAGCATTCATGTCTCATAATATTCAATTTCTTTTATGAGTGGATGTGTATGAGTAATATTGTATAAAAGGTCACCGAATTTAATTTTTTAAGTAAATGTATTTTTTCTGTACCTGAGATTTTAGTAAACAGTATATTTTCATGTCCTTATAATCCTAACAAGCTATTAATTTTATGTATTATTATATCTATATTCGTCGCGTGAGTCCTTATTAAGTCTTGAATTCCTGATCCATTTTCAAACAAATAACTACATTTTTTTCACTTTAAAGTACACACATCGAACAATGCAGAACATAATTATATTGTGGGTAAAAAATGATTTATAAATTAAGAGACATGGATGATTTTGCAACTAACTTGAAATCATAATTATGTTATTTTTCAACTTGAATGTTTTGAGAGCAATTTTATGACATTATTTAAAGTTTGGTATGAAGTAGATTGCAGCAACTCGATCGATTCAAATTTAGTAGACCTCTGTAATTCAGCCAACAAACTACGAGAAACGCACTTTTGTTTAATAAGTCGTTTGACTGCGACGCCACCACGCTATTTAGTATAATTAAACAAAATGTTGTAACAAATATGGTTATTTAAATGTACCTACATAATTCAGGCCTCATCCTGAGTTATGTAGGTACATCATAAAAGCCACTTTTAAAATCAATTCACGTAGCGATTGTTTAAGGAGCAGGGAAAAAATAAAACCATTTATTTTTAATTCCAATTCAATTTTTACCGTTGGGCTCTAAGTAGACAGAGAATATGTCAGTGAAATGACGAACAGTGTACATTATTGATTAAAATATTACTGAATACTGCAAATTATCGAAAGAGAAAGTTTTTTTACAGTATACATATAAAAGTCAGCATTTTAAAATTGTAGTAGTTATGGACAGCTGGATACAGTAACATAAAACTTTTATATGCCCTTTTCCACACCACCCAAGAGGTAGAGCACTAGGTGCGTTTTTTTTATAGTGGTTTCCCCCATAGGCCTAATCCACTTACTACCAAGTTGTCATGTCTAACAAATATGCTGTGCTTATTGCTTTCTGAGCATTTGCAAATATGAGCTGGTAGACATTTTGAGATTATAATCTCAATTGAACCTAGTCTTATAAAAAATATCTTAGAAATATGTGGCATAAATGTCACAATGCATTTCAACAATCCATATTCACATTAGGTACATTATACGTCATTGAAGTCGATAGCAAGAACTTAACTGCGTAATAAATGATGGCGCTATAAAAATATTGCAAGGTTTTTATTGGATTGTGGAAATGCATTTGATGGTGAACAAAGCCAAACTGAAATAATCAGTTATGCTTCGTTCGATGGATAGACCTTATACCTTTTACACCAACACAGCTTTGACATCCATCATGAGGCTGCGATCCTCTTCCACGACAGCAGTTAGGTTACTGCATCCATAATGGCTTTTTCAATTTTCTGATAAGCCCTTTTATCTTCATTCATGTTGCAATTTTGTAAAATCCTGGCAATTAACAAAGATTAAATTAAAAATTATTAATTAATTAATTGTATTAAATTAAAGATTAGCTTTAAAATGAATAACTTTTGGATTGAAAAAAATGCTGTCAAGTGAAACATCACAATCAGAATTATTTTATGGGCAGTAATAAAAATATTTTTAAGATCTAATTACTTACAGGCTCCGTCGCAATGTCGCAATGAAAATATTCCCAATGCAACGCAGCGCAAAGCTATAGCTACGATCAAGACGATAAAATAACACAAAATGGCCGACGCATGTACGGCCTACGTTATTTTAGCAGGAAGATTCCACACAGTGTTGCCATATTTTAATCTAATGATTACTCTGGATTCCGTTAAAAACAATCCATACCTTTAGCACGTGAAGTGTAAGTAAATTATAATTTCAATTTTTCACTTATTAGGGCGATTCCTAATACGTACAATGTTTTGCTTTGTATATACCCGCGATTCGTTTTTCACCTATAAACATTGATACCCTAAAAGAACACATGCATGTTACGTTGGCAGCACTGTATCCATAAGCAATAGACCATAGAGATATAAGCATAGAGAGAACACCGAGTACATGATGCCTGTAAGTGGAAGCTACTATGTACATATCTCTTAATCTGTGGTGGAAGCGATACAGGCAATGAGAGAGATGGATGCCCATAGATTGATCTACCTATATGGAGGATAGAGACAAGGAGAACCATCTCTGTGCACAGATTACTATAATGTAGCAAGCTATGTGTATTCAAAGTGTCCGTCAAAATACGTTAAATTGGGGGAGCTACAGTTCCATACGGATATTTTTTTAAAGAAAGCCCCAAAAGTTGTTAGAGTAGGATAGAGAAGTCAACATTTGCAAGAAAACCATTGTTAAAAATTTATTTTGGCATTTAAGCCAATATAAATTTTTAACAATGATATGAATAATTAGACACTGTAAACTAGACTGCAAAAATAGTCAATGAGTTTTAAAGACAATAAATAAACGTGTAATAACTTTCAGATAATAAAAGTATTTTAATATTTTAACTTAGCACACTTCCCTCCGTCTACAACGGCTATGTTCATATCGTAGTTTTTCGTACGCCAGCGAACTCAGCCATTTTCAACATGCAGCTGGACACTTTTTCAACTTTGCCCCATCTAAGATGGTTCGCCTTGCCTCTACCCTCCATAGATTGACCTAAAATGTTAAAACCGGATGGGTATTTATTTTAAACCGATAAATTATTGTAGCGGATTTCCACATACCTATTATGGAATTTTTAGACTTTGACATGTATCATGTATAATTTTCTTGGTGATATTATTTTACAACATAAACGAGGAACTTTATGTTAGACCAATGGGATTGAATATTATGCCTAGTTTACATGCGTGCCGAGGCTTGGCAAACGTCCACAAGCTCCAAGCCTTTACAAACGCTTGAATGCCATTTACACGCTTGCGAGTATATATGAACCTCCCTAACTGCCTCAGCCAGCATCGGAATCCTAGGCATCGACATATTGAGCGAAATCCAGTTTCGGGGTCACTTAGAGGGTAAGGTCAAATTGGCCTCCAAGAAGCTCCGCACTCCGGCCCACCGTCTTCAGCTCTATAAGGCGCAAGTCCGGCCGCATATGGAATACTGTTCTCATCTCTATGCAGGGGCACCTCAGTACCAGCTTCTCCCTCTGGACCGCATCCAACGAAGAGCGACTTGAATCGTCGATAGCCAAAAGATTTGCGATCGGCTCGATTCGTTGGCGTTACGTAGAGATGTAGCTTTACTCTGCATTCTCTATCGCATATATCATGAAGAGTGCTCCGAGAAAGTGTTCGGACAAATACCAGACGCAAATTTCCGCCATCGTTCCACACGTCAAAATTTTGTGCGCTCCACAACTGTGCGTTTTTCGAAACACTTTTTGCCCCGCACAAACAAACTGTGGAACGGGTTATCGTCTGCGGTATTTCCGGACCGATACGACCTTCAAACCTTTAAGAAAAGGGCGTACTCCTTCCTAAAAGGCCGGCAACGCGTTTGTGACTCCTGAGTTGCAGACGTTCATGCGCGGCGATGGTTACTTTCCATCAGGTGACCCGTCTGCTCGTCTGCTCCCTCTAACATAAAAAAAAATATATATATATGATATTTTACGCTTTAATTCAGGTAACGACAATGATTGGCAGTCAAATTTCTTGAAAAGTTTGTTGTGTTTCTTGTCAAAATATATATCATTCGGTCTTCTTTATCCGCTGTATGTTTTAAATAAACTTCCTTCAATCCCAATAGACTTTCTTTCTTTAATTTAAAAAGAAAAAAAACAGACAAGATTAAATGATTAATGATAATTTATTTATGTATGTAATAAAAATTTGTATACTTATTTAAATATACTTATTTAATACTCTTTATATAACAGAAGTATAATACAAGACTACATTTTGTTATTACGTTATTTAAAAGTGAGTTTATTTTGTCATTAAACGATAAACGTGTGCAAAAGTGACCTTCACGACGACATTTTGCGAAAGTAATGTTCTGCGTCAAGACCACAATAGCAGCAGGGTAAATTTTTAAGAAATAAAAAAGGGAATTCTTTCGCTCGGTACCTAACATGATTGCCGCCATGGTACGGAGTTAGAGTTCGTGGAACTCCGTCGTCTCCTTCTGCGAGCAAGTTATGCTTGCAAAGGAGATGGTGGAGCGGGACCGGGAGAGGTTTAGAACTCTCTCGGCCCGCCACGCCCAGCAACGGGCCAGGTACCGCAGAAGACTCAGGCGCTAGAGGACGCAGAACGACCTCTGTCCTTCATAAGCGCAGGCCTGGGGTTGGTAGGTGAGGCCATCTGTCACACTAGCAGAAGCAGGTCGGGGTGGTGGCGAGACACGCTGCGGAGCGCGCGCGCCTTTTCGAGAGCCCGACGTAACCACTGGTGGATGGTATCCGAGGGGATTTCCGTACAGAAAAAAAGGGTCATTAGCTTTTAATTAATTATTTTAATAAAATGTTACCCATAATTGTTCAATTATTCACAAAGTTTTTGTAAATTTAAATGTAAAAAAAAACACCAAGGGTATTATTTAAAATTCACAAAGTAAAATCAAATACAAAAATAATCATTTGAGTTTATATTTACAAAATACACTCGATAGTCAGCAACTTCCATTCGTCTGCAACTGCTATATTCATACCACACCCTTTGTCTACACCAGCGCCATTCTGAACGGTTTTTGAACTGTTATTTACAGTATAAAGTTGGACACTTTTTTTAACTTTCTTCCCATTACAGATAATTCTCTTTAGCTTTACCCTCCATAGTTTTGTGTCTAACCATGTAGTTCTTGTTAAAAAACCCAGAGTGCGCTGTACTAAAGATGTCTTGGGGTCAAATGACAGTGGACACACTTGGCCAACAGGCCTGTCAAGTAGCAGGCGGTACAATCTTAGTCGACAATCCTTGGAATGTTACGAAAATAATGAAACCAAACACAATGGCTTTTTATTTGTTCCAAAATTGTAACAACAATACGTACACTTCATTTAGGCGTATAATACGTGTGTACTTCGCCAGTCGATACTTATAGATGTCGTTACTTTTGGTATAATCCGCATAAAACAAAAAGTGAGTTGTTTTAGTTTTAATTATCCCGGAACGTATATCACTATTTTCTGGAATCATTATAAAATGACTTTTGGAAATAAAATGTTGCCATTATTTTTTTTATACATTGAGTTGGTAGTTATTTTGTATGATAAAATTGATAAATGTAGACTTTATATTAAAATTTTTGAAAACTTTAAAAATTTTTTAGCACTTTAATACACACGATTCTAAGAAATCCTAACTTAGTGCCTGTATCATTTCATTATTGCCATTGTTTTCGTACTTTTCATCAGCGTTAATGCAGCAACATTTGCAATAGCTGTCGTTATGAATGTTGTCCGTCAACATGACATTCATACCGGTTTTTTTTGGTGGTTGAATGTTTACTTGCTTGGAACTAATAACAATAATTCTCTGATATCTTCATTAATGCGTGAGTTGAGCCTAGGTTCTTCTGATCTTTGTTATCCTTGTGTGTTGTTTTCGCGTAGTATTGAGGTAGAGACACTTATTTTTAACGCTTTATTTTTGTGTTGCAATGTCTGCTAAACGTTATTGTCTTGAAAAGAAGAAAATAAACGGTTTTTTTATACATTGTTTTATTTTACAAAGTTCTAATTGCATAGGTATATTTGTACATAATATAAACAATGTTGTATACAATAAGTATTACCTATATTATAGATATGTAGGTATAAATATATCCTTTCAAATGTTGAGTAAGAGAAAAGTTGTTGCTCGCTCCTAACAGATGGCGTTGTTTTGTAATTTCCTCCATAAGCGATTGAGATATACCTCTATTTCAGTATATTACAATGTACTCTGTGTCAAGTAGGTACATTAAAAAAAAACAGTAAATGTAGAATTCTATAAATTATCATTGTATTCCTCTTCGGAAATATCACATCAAATCAAACCACAAAACTTGGGTGCAGTCAGAGTTAGCAACGTTATGTTGCTTGGTAGTGACATCATTTTTCAATTGAAACGTTTTAAAAATGAAGATATCGATATCGTCGTTTTAAGTAGAAATGGACGTCTAAGTATTTTTAATTTTGATGACATCACTCCGCAGAATGTAATTTAAGAGCTCTAATATTGAGATACATTTACATCAGATCATCAATCATATCAATCATGCATACTTCCAATATTCTTACCGATATTCCCGCCGTCTTGCGATAAGGTGATGTTGGTGAGAGTGGCGACGGAACGGGACCGGGGGAGGTCAAGCAGTCGCTCTTTCTGCAGAATTCGCACCAAGCATCAGAGAGCGCAGAAAATGACCATTCATATCATCCATCCTTAAAAACAGGGTAGGCGAGATGTTTGCTGTAACTGTATATGTGTATGTCAGAACAGAGAGTTATCTACAGAACGCTATTAGCTATTTTTGTCGGGGCCATGAGGTTAAATGCCCACCCTATTCACACTGAAACCTTTTAACTCCATAAATATTGACACAACAACACGCTTAAGGCTGTGGGCATTTAAGGCGCTAACGTTTCACAACACAACGAATTATATGTCTCTTAAAATCCTTTCATCTAACATATTGTTATAGTCTTTATTTGCTCCTTGGTTATATAATTTATTTTTCTGTAAATAACAGTGTTTTGATTCTTGATGTTTCCAGTGTAATTTTTTTTTTAATTGTCGTCTAGTGGTTAGTGTCCCTAACTGCTAAGCCGGAGGTCGTGGGTTCGATTCGCACCCGGGACAAATATTGTGTGGTGAGCACGGTCATTTGTTCTGCGTCTGGGTGTAATTTATCTATAATATGTATGTATTTAAAAATATATAAGTATGTTTATTAGCAGTCTTGTTACCATAGCATAGGCTCTGCCTAGTTTGGGATCGAGGATCCTAGTTGGGGTAGGGAGA